TGTTTTGGTTTTTTCGTCCGTTATAACTAAGCGTTTCTGAAAACTTCAAGGAACAGCGTGGGCCCGAGCGTAGCAAGAGCTGGGCATTAACGGTTTATGAGACGTGATTGACAGTTTCCGGCGATGAAACAGATTCTGGTGAATTCAAACAGTTGGCGAAAGTTTGGATAGTCGCCGTTCATTTTTCCTGGTGCCGGTCAAGTCCTCTTTGAACAAGCAATATCTGGAACTTTTTTGGAATTGGGTCAAGTTCAACAATGCCTGAGTCAAAGAAGGGACAGAGTGTCTTGGATACAAACAGGAAAGTAAGTCATGGTGACTTGTCTGTTAGTTGTAACGATGTGTCTGATGTTAAGCATGACATGGTTGATGTTACTGTTTCGCCGTTCAGGGATAATAGGAACATCAAACTCCCTAAGTTTGAACCACGGTGTTTTGATGGAAAGCCAGCTGATTATTTACAATTTGTAAAGGAGTTTGAGGTCATGCTGACTGGTTTTATCTTAAATGACGAAGTAAAGTTGATGTATTTGTTGAGGTATTGCACTGGTGTTGCTGCAAGAGCCATAAAGTGCTGCAAGTTTATGTCCTCGAGCGAAGCATATACAGAGGCTATGAGGATATTACGTCAAAGGTTTGGAAAATCACTCATGATATCCCGTAACGTTTATGAGACCGTGAAGGGTAAGGGATCACAGTTAAGTGATAATTCAGAGGAACTCTCAGAGTTCTTGGACAGTTTAATGGCATATAGAAATACTCTTGTGTCTTTTAATTGTGTAGACGAATTGAATTCAAGTTCCGTGCTTGAGAGGTCAAATTTTTAATCATAGTTCATACAATTTTTGTTTTGTTTTGTTATGTATACCTACTGATAGCTGTCTTTTGATTCATATGACAGGACAAACAATTTAAAACAAGATGTACTTTTACATATAAACATACAATTTTATTTATTCGTTATACATGCTGATACCTGTTGCATGGCTCATGATTGGACAAAGTTCTAAAAACAGGAGATGTCCCTTTCATATATAAACCTTTGTTATGTTAATTTCGATTGGTTTCCCTGAGGATGTTCGGACCAGATTCCTGAACGAAACGTTGGAATTAATCATCTCAATTTCGCTGAGATTTTACAAATATAGTTTTATAAATGTCTACTTCTCACTCAGCACTCAATTATTTTGCAACTATCCGGTCAAATATTGATCACGGTTCATATGAAGTATTAGAAGAGAGATTCTGAGGTAGAGATGATCTGCTCGCGGCGAAAACACCACTGGGATGGACAGTGAGAGGACCTATACCCATGGTCCACTTATAATCATTGGTTGCAAACAATGGGGACAAACTGGAGACAATGATTAGAAATATGTATGACAAGGAGTTTTGTGACTACGGTGTCCCATAGAAGGGTCGTTCTGTAGAAGACTTGAAGGCAGTTAAAATAGTTGAGGAGTCCTGTAAGTACGAAAATGGGCGTTTCAGCGTTGGCCTACCATGGAGATTTAAAGATGGACAGTTGGTTTGTAGTAGAGAAGTTGCTCTTAAGGGACTAATGGGTTTAAAGAAGAAGTTTGTAACGGATGCAGGTCTCTAGACCAAATATAAAGATGTCGTCGGCAAGCATGTAATGAAGGGTTACGTTGAAAGACTAGTTGATCAGAGCGAGCCAGGGAAGTGGTATTTGCCCCATCATCCCGTCTTTAGCCCGAGGAAGCCAGGTAAGCTCCGTGTGGTGTTCGATTGTTCCGCGAAACATGAAGGAGTCTCTTTGAATGATAATCTACATAGTGGTCCAGATTGCATGAGCTCATTAGTTTGACTGCTTTCAATATTCAGAAAGTTTACAGTTGCTGTTGCTGCGGATACAGAGGAAATGTTCTTACAAGTGAAGGTGCCAGAGAGTGACAGAGATCACTTAAGGTTCTTGTGGTTTGATGATGGTCCTTGTGGTAAGTTTTCAGTGTATAGGATGACAGTCCATCCGTTTAGTGCCACGTCCTCCCCGTTTCGTGCGATTTCGCTCTACGAAAGGCAGTGTCCACATTTGGTTCTAATGATCTGCTGGACGTCATCGACTGTTGCTGCTATGTGGATGATTGTTTAGCCTCCTTTAATGATGATAAGTCTGCAGTTAAATTCGCAACAAATATTACTGAAGTGTTAGCTAAGGCTGGCTTTCGTTTAACTAACCGGGTCTCGAACAGCCTAGACGTTTTGAGGCACATGGTTCCAGAAGACAGAGCACCTACTGTACGAGATTTGCCTGTTGACACTCTACCAGTTGAACGCACATTAGGTATGCGATGGGATGTGAACTCTGATACCTTTGGATTTAGCGTTGGTGATATTGATAAACCAGTTACTCGGAGAGGTGTGCTCTCTGTGTTTTCGTCCGTGTTTGACCCACTTGGATTAGTAGCACCTTATCTACCTCAGGCGAGGAGATTATTTCAGGAGACATGCAGGAGAGGGTTACAGTGGGGTGACCCATTAAGTGAAAGACACAGTGAAGAGTGGAAAAGGTGGTTTAACAATTTAAGAAGCCTGGATCTACATTCCGTGGTTTTGAAAAAGTTCAGAGTTCTTGCTACGGGCTGATAGTATGTGGCCTCGTAGAGAAGATGAACCACCGATAAACGAGTGTGTCTTGGAGTTTAAGACAAGTGTCAGTTTAACATCTACTCAAGAAAGACATTCGAGTTTACATCCACTTTTTAGATATTATTATTCTTGGTAAAAACTACTGAAGGCTGTTGCGTGGTTGGCAAGATATGTCACGTATTTAAAGGTCATGCATCTTGCAGGATACGATAACATGAATGTGGGACCTTTGAGAGTCGAAGATATTAGAAATGCAGAGTTAGCGATTTTGAGGGCTGCTCAGTGGGAAGCGTGGGGTGAGATTGCCAAGGAAGATAGTCCCGATTTCGCAGATTTCAAGGCGCGGTTAGATAGATTATCTCCGATAGTTTCCGAAGGGATCGCTAGAGTTGGTGGACGTCTATCAATGTTAGAATCGTCATGTGAGACCCGTCATCCAGCCTTATTACCTTGCTACCATCCAGTCACTGATCTCATTATAAGACACTACCATGTTCTTGAAGGTAATTTGGGTTATTCACAAGTACTATCAAGTTTTCGATGTAAGTTCTGGATAGTGAAGGGAGGCACTGCTGTCCGTAAGACAATTGATAAGTGCATGGAATGTAAACTGCGGAATGCTCGCTCAGCACAGCAGATGATGGCACCAATCCCAGCGTAGCAAGTTTCTGAAGGCAATTATCCATTCGAGTACGTCGGAGTGGATTTGTTCGGACCTTTAGTAGTGAAGAGAGGCAGAACCCTATGTAAAAGATGATATGGCTGTTTATTCACCTGTTTGAAAATGAGAGCTGTGCATATTGAGATGGTTCATACGTTAACTACTGATTCATTCGTTCTAGCATTACATAGATTTATAAATCGCCGAGGTGCACCGAAGATGATGTTCAGTGACAGAGGGACTAATTTTGTTGGCTGTCACGCCGAGCTTAAAGAGTCCTCAAACGAGAGTTCATGAAGAGTTACTGAAAAGAAACATCGAGTGGCACTTCAACCCACCACATGCCAGCCACAGAGGTGGGCTATGGGAAAGACTTATGGGAATTATCAAGCGTATTTTAAGCTCCATAATTAAGAACCAGAGTTTGAATGACGAAACGCTGGAGACATTTTTATGTGAAGCTAAACGAATACTAAATGACCGGCCGCTATTACCTGTGAAGGACGACGTCAAGGATTTCGATGTGTTAACCCCAAATAAACTATTGTTATTGAGAGGTAACCCTGGCATAGAGGACTCAACCGGGGAACGGATACCTACGATCAAATGATGGAAACAAGCCAGGCATATGAAAGATATATTTTGGAAAAGATGGTTAGAGTAGTATGTTCTAACACTGCAAACCAGAGACAAATGGAAAAAGTTGTGCAGAAACTTAAAGGTTGGTGATATAATCTTAGTAGCAGATAAATGTACCACAGGTAGATGGCCTTTGGGAGTGGTAGGAAGGCTACTCTATAGTGGTGATAGGTTGGTGAAGGCTGTTGAGGTGAGGACAAGTTGTGGGATGTTGGTGCGAGATATTAGGAAACTGTGTCTACTGGAAGGTGTCGAGAGTGAGAGGATGAACCACTTGACGATTTTCCAACCTAGGGTGTCAACGTGAGAAGCAATGTAGGCGTACTGCTGTAAGTCCTACAGTTCTTCAAGGGTAGCTCGTCGAGGTGGAGTCCACGACAATTGATGTATTGATTGTACATACATTTGTGTTAAAAAATTGAATTGGTTCCAATTCATCTAATTGTTGGTTTTTTAATAATAGTTGTCGCTTTGTGTGAATCATCTTGTGATGTTATTGTGAGTACTTCTGAAGTCGTTTCTAGTCTTGTGAACGAATGGAGTAGTGTTAGAGTCAGTGTATGCGATTGGATACGCTGGGGAGAGGATTGTGCCAGAGTGATATGAATCAACCAACGCTTCGTGAACCAGATCAGTGGTGATACTGTCTACAGACAGCGTAGATTCCACGCGCCGGTGAGAGCGTGTCGGTGTGATGTGGTATGCTTGTTGTGTGTTGGGCTTTTTGTCATGCTTTTCCATTTTTAGCTTGGTCCCGGTAGACCCAGGTTCCCGCGTTGGCAGCTCAGTTCAGGGCTGTCAGCGCTATGGAAAAAGGGATGGGCCCTTTTTAGCCGGGGAGTGTCCGTGGAGGCGAACATTGAACGTTTGTTTTTGGAACTGATAGCCATTGTTAGGCAACTAAAAGGCGCGAATGGTTCGATGGTGTACAAGTTCGATGCGGACAACAAAAAACGAATAAAAGTACTCCATAATTTTGTCTAGAATATTTGTTTATAGACTTTTACTGGGTGACTCTAAAGAATAGCGGCCCAAACCGAAACGACCTTTTAACGCAAAAATAACCTTGACAGGGACAACTTCAGCCAATGAGAAGGCTCAAAAAGAAAGGCGCATAATTGTAAAAAACGGTTTATATAAAAGTAATGCAATCATAATAAACAGTTACAAAGAATGGCGTTCGCGTATATGTTGCAAAAAAACCTCCCAGTTTCTCATGGGAGTCTTCATAGTCATATGAAACCAGTTTTGGTACATAAATTCATCCAGGTAACTGTAAATCATGGGATTTCTCGACCCATTAACCGCTCTTATACGTCTTTCTAGACGACTCCAAAAACTTTCAATGGAACTGGTGTGGGTTCCATCCAGAGGATTTCGGAAACCGTCCGTATGATTAACAACATGATGAATGTACCCATGATTCGATAATTGACGGTATCCGCTCCATTCATCTGCATGAATAGTCGTCTCCGGCAACACCAAACGCTTATTAATAGGCACTAATACTGCTGCACTGCGATTGGGAATCGCTTCTATACACCCTTTGCGCAGTGTCGTGTCGTAGATACTCAGTATCCACTGCTGGTTTGCTTGTAATCTCCCACGGTTCTATTTCCTTTTTACAAGTACAGTCTCATCAATATGGACGATGCTGCCGACTCCCCCGAGAACTTGAGTCAGGGTGTTCATTTTCCAGGAGGAAATATCTCTGCAGTAGTTGTACCATTGCACTGCTGACACCTCTGAATTTTCTGTTTCATAAGCTGTAGCTGTGACTGCTCTTTTCAGGATCCAGAAGTTACAGATCATTAAAATTTTCGTCAAAGGTAGTTTAGACCTTGAGAGAAAAGTTCCTAAGGGATCTATAAACTAAAAAACAACGACAGACCTTCTCGAACCGATTTCCTCCTTCGGCACTCAATACATCTGTATACAAAGCCAACAATGGCCTTTGTGTATATTTGTATATGCATAACTCCTCCGCATTGGCAAATTTTCGACAAAGCTATCAGTCCGTTATCCAAACAGTAATCGAAAACATCCATGATTACTTCCGAAAATGATACAGTCAGCTGACTCCTTGCTCAAGGTCACTTTTTTGTTTGAAGGTCGTTTCGGTTTGGGCCGCTATTCTTTAGAGTCACCTTTTACTGTTCACAGCTTTAATTGTCCAACGATATAACTTCCTTCTCACAATACTAGTGTTCTGGAGTTAAAGTCGAAGAAAGCACATAGTTTTTATCGGTGCAGAGCATCTTCGTAACAATAGGAACTTAGGGATAAGTTCCTTTTTTCGATGTTCTAAACTTAGCATTATTTTACTGTATGGTAGATGCACATCATTCTTTAAACGCTCATTTCGTACATTTTCCTCAACAAGGTTCTTAACATTCTTGTTTTGTTTTCCAGGTGCAACGGGTAGTGGACAAGAAACAAACGAAGCACGAGATCCGACGAACAACATCAAAGAAGCGATGTACAAACACCCTATTAGCATAGGCCGACAGACCAGTAGTCTGTCTGTCTCTGTTTTCGGCATAGAACTTTGCACTGATGTGCAGCAGTCAGGTCGCCATACTCCATGTAGCACGCAAAGCAAGAGAAGAAATGCATAATAGGGACAGTAAACGGAGGTGTGAGACGAAAGAATAGTAATAGCAAAGAAGAAAATAGTTTCATTGGAAATTATAAGTCACAAGTAGTGAATGCATCTGCGCCATTGAGAACGACTTTTAGGCCATATCACCAATTGTTTCCAGCAATTGGTTTTTACCGTCCCGAGGACCTCAACCCGGAAGTCTACGTCTTCCTACGTGGCCTAAACTAACTGTGGTAATCAATCGACGAGACTGTGAAGTTACTTCGATTGAGATGGTTATGACATGTGTTACGCATGTCTATCCTAGCCTAGCCATCGCCTTCCTTGATGGGTAATATTAGCTGACATCGAGTTAGGTTGGAAAAGATCCGCTGGTTGTCAAACTAAAACATGGCTTCATCAGTCAATAAATCCAAAACTGTCAATTATGAAGATATAGACTTCCTGGATGAGGGCCTCGGATGTGATGAGTTAAGTGCGGCGACTTGAGATGCTCCACGTCAGTGCAAAGTTCTATGTAGAAACCAGTTAATCATTATTAGTAGCTCTAGTTTTCTCTCCTGTTTGTTGTAGTTTTATGAGCTATTCAACCACATCTGCCAACAAACACCTACTAATAGTGTATGTTGAAAGTAGATTTAACAATATACAAGATGAATGTTTCTGATGATCGTTTATGTCGGCGAACGCTTTTTTGTACTTATATTAAGAAAGCTTTTTCACTGCTTTTTATGTTCATCAATTGATGTGTGGAGAGTAACTACTGAAAGCACTTGTGATGCCCTAATGACCGGTCGATAGGTCCATTGTGGTCAATTATAAAGTGAATCATCGAGCGAATTGACTGATTGGTGTCATCTCTGTGACTGTAGTAGTGTGTGATGCGACATGGAGTCATCCGTGAAGAGAATCAGTGCCTAGTTGAAGACACACTTTGGTAACGAGTGGCAATAAGGACAGAAGCTACATCAACAGTTTTATGTCGATTACCTCCAACGAGTCTTGAGATAACTGTATATATATATATATATATATATATACCCATGTCAGGTGTCCTATGCACTGGAAGTTAGTTACTTGTACATGGTGTTTGTATGCAGATTAAACTAGAAGTCGTAGATGCTACGTGAGGCGGTGGGTTTATGTTATTGCTTAAGACGTGAGTTACATCTAGATCATTTCTAATATGAATTTTCAATAATGATTGTAGAAGTAATTCCAGGGTGTCTGTCCTATTATTATTCTGATGCTTGATTTTTGTCTTTTACATTTTCATTCTTTTAGCATGTACTATGTGCGTCGGTGGCACAGCGGTTAGCATGCTCGCCGACCATGCATATGGTCCGGGGTTCGATCCCCGACCGACTCATTCCTTTACCTCACTTAGCCAGGAGTAATGCTGGTAAAGAGGGAAGGTTGGGCATGAGGCTAGCAACTCCATCCTGTGAAAATAAACACTGCGACAGAAACTTCAAGCCTCTAGCTTGAAGCCCTATATTCCACTGGGAACGTGAAGGAAATAAATAAATAGATAGCATGTACTATAGATTATGAAGCTATTGAGAGTCTTGTGAATTGGTCGTTTTGCACACGAATTCATTGTTTTCGGACATTAAAAGCAACACTAGTGGATCAGTAAAGATCAGACCTGTCCGAGGTATTTTGCCTAGTTGGCATGTTACGCTGAGTTAAATACCTCCAGAAAATTGGGTTGGTTTAGTAGTCAGACCTATTCACCTTCAAGACAACGATCCCGGTATGTTTCCGATTTTAGAAGTGTGTTTAGAAACTCCTGTAAGTTGTTATGTGACGCGGTATTTAGTTTCGAAACTTTGTAACACCAAAAGTGTTGGAGAAGTATCAGCAGTGACCTATTTAGATTTCTACAGAACGAAGTGTCTCCTGATGAGAAGCCTACCCATTGATATATCAATGCCATTATGCAGAACGTCACGACTCACACGTCATCAAAATTGCACCCAAGTTACTGCGGGTCTACGAAAGAGTGAATCACTTCCCAGACAGTCAATGTTTGTATGTGAAGGGTGATAAGTGTCTTCACATGCACACTTGTGTCCATTTTTCCGTTAGAACTAGACCTAAGTCACGCTCCGACGTTGTGCAGGAAAAGTTTTTGTTGCACAGGGTGTAACTTACATTCTGCAGCCTACTTTTTAAGGTTGAAAGTCATGCCACTGGCCACCGCCCAGTCTTCCAGAAGCTCTGGGTCTGCCTGTAGTCTATCTGAGTCTTCCGAACACTTTATTGCTCTCCAAATCTTTGCGTTATCAGTGTGAAGAAGAGTCAGGCAGCTTAGACGACTTGATAGGTCATTGGTAGAAATCAAAACCACCAGTGGCTTTAGGGTAGAGCATTGCACACTTCTCATGATGAGCTAAGCCAGGATGATCGGACTTAGTTACGTTAGGGAAAAATTTCTTTTCAGCTAGGTAGTCTTTCAACCATGACAGAAGTGGCTCACCTTTTATTTATTTATTTTTTATTTAAACGCATAAAAACTTGGTACAATATGGCACCTAGAAGGATGCACCACACAATAATAATAAAACAACACAGATCATAAGAAAAAAAAGAAAGAAGAGAAATATATATATATGAATATGTATATAATTAGAGAACGGATAAAGAACTTCTTCTGGAAGGAAAACAGTCATGCTTAACAAGTTCAAACAGTATTCGTTAACTATCATCGGGAAGGGAAGAAAGAAGGGATTTGCAACATGTGTAATAGCACGCGATAAGTTTCATTGATTGTTTGTTGCTTCATTCAATTCACCTATACCTGCCTGACTTATTTTGTGTAGGAGAAGGTCATGGTGAACTGTGTCAAATACCTTCTCGAAGTCTAGGAAGACCACATGGATTGGAATATTCATATCCCAACATGTTGTCCAATCGTTCCAAGCTGATAGTAGGTTTATTAAACAGGATATGCCTTTCCTCAAACCATGTTGTGCTTCACGGAGTCCACTGGTCCCATCGAGGTGCTCCCTGATGTGATCACCAATCATACTTTCCAGTACTTTTGATACCACTGAGAGTAGCGCTACTAGTCTGTAACTGGTGGCATTTCGCCTGTCTCCACCCTTGAAAATAGGAGGAAGGATGGCTGTTTTCCACTCCCTTGGCAGTTTCTCCGAATCCATCGAATGTTGGAACAAGTCTCATCACGGCCTACAGAGAGCTTCGGTGCACTGTTTCCGAACAGATGGCTTGAAATCGTCACAACTTGGGGACTTTCCAGATGGGAGTCTGTGTAGCTTCCCTAGTATTATTGCCAGTTTTGTTTGGAGAGTAACCACTAAGTTTTCCTCCGGTGAAGTAGTAGTGCCTCCATTTCGGTCCGTACCAGTAATACCCACACTGCTGTTTAACTGTTTGGCGAAGGCTAAACTGAATGTTTCAGCCATCTCCAGACTAGTGAGGTATTGACCGTTTGGGCCTACTAAGACGCATGCCCGCCTTGTTGTTTGGTTTACTCTCTGACATGAATCGGTACAGGCTTTCGGGGTTCTCCAGGAGGTTCTCGGCAAGGTTAACCGGGAATGACCTCTCGTCATTCCTGACTCTTGTGTTGCAGTGGTTCCTGAGTCGCAGATATGTATTGCGGTCAGTCTGACTATTGGATATTCGCCACGTATACCAAGCCTTCTGCTTTGCTTGTAGAATTTATTGCATACCTCTCTTCAGCCATGAGGACCGACCATTTTCTCAGCTGTGTTGTGACTACAGGGACTGTATCCGAGATTGATGTATGAATAATCTCTTTCACCACTTCCCAGTGTTCATCCACAGATAACTCATGCCATTCTATGGAAAATTCTGCGTCGTACAAAAGCCTCCGCATTTCAGCATAGCCCGTCTTGTTATAGCTCATACATGGTCGCTAGGCTTCCCACTGTAAGTTCTCATGGAGAACAATTTCGAATCCTATGACTGAATGGTCAATACTTCCTAGTGGGGTCATTACTTGGACCTTTTCGACAACTAGTTGGTCACTAGTTAGAATATGATCTAGTTTCTACGGCTTTCAACCAGGGCCCCAACTAGCGTCGTCTCCAACATTCTCAGTCAGTCCTGTATTTCCTGTGGTTTGAAGTAGATGCTTGATATGTATCCATATATATATATATATATATATATATGGTGGTCTCTCTTTCTGTTGCTCTCTTAGTCTGTGACCATTTCACTTTGATGAACCTGTCTCCTTTAACAATGCATATTCCCCTTATACTATATATAATATGTGTGTTTGTTGACAGTCTGTCCTTGGTGATATATATCCATATAACATGTGTGTTTGTTGACATGTCTGCTATATTTTGCTATGCATATATGGATCGATACTCCATTATAATTAGACAATCATGTTAAGACTGTCTATTGATTGTTCACACACTTGTTCGGACATTCATATATATTTTCGCTCGCACACTCTTGTGTGATTTGATTCTCCTTGTGTTCGGAAAATAGAAGTATCATCGCAAACCCACTGGTCTTCTGATTTCCGTCTTTCTTGCGTCAGGACTATTAAATTCTCGACCAGTACATAATAATAATTTGGCGGCGAGTACATAACAATGCTGACCGAGCGTTTCCTGAGCATACTCCGAGTCAAGGTTCAGGGATGATGCATTGAAATCTCCAGCTACAGTGGTTTGGCCATAGTCCAAGTCCCGTATCCCTGTGATGGTGCTGAGCAGTAGCCGATTCCGATGGAACCGGTTTGTTGTCGTTTTTTCCTTGAATTCAGGTAAGAAACTCAGGTAACACTGACTGTTATTCTCATTTCCGCATCACTGTAGTGTCACTGAGGCTTGGGGACGTATTAAGGCCTCAGTTTGCTGCCTCCTTATGGTTCAAGGTCTGCTTTCGCAGCATCGGATGTCTCCTCCTATTTTTCCCTTGGTCTCGTACCGCTGTTGAAGTACTAGAGCCAACTGTTTCTGGGAGTTGAATTTTACACTTAGCAGCCTTGGGGGAGGGGGGGCGCAAATCAGTGTGAGATGAGAGGGACGAAGCAGCCGGAAAATTGAGATTTCTCCAGAGGCGTTAAGCGCCATCTGAGATGACAGCCATCCCCGTTAGTGTACGTCATGCATGTGTTCTTCACAAGCAGTGCCAGTTTCCAGCTCTGGAACACAGTGTATGAGCGTGGACGGAGAGAACATCAGTTCCGGTGACTCCCTCAATATTTGGCTGTTAGTCAATGGCCTGTCATGCCTTATTCTTATGTTGGAATTCGTGTCGATAGCCAATACTTTAGCCGGTAACAGTATTAGTTCAGCCTCTTCGGAAGAGCCCAGTGTCAGCCTTAATGGAAGTGGCTTACCTTGAGGTGCCTGAACACGCCCGTAAAGCCTGCACAATTTCGCCTAATTGATGTTCAAACCTAATTTATTGCGCAAATTGAACCAGTGTTCCTGATCAAACAGGGCCATCTGTTCAAGCAAACTATCAATGCACACTATCATTAAACAGGCTAAGGGAATTCGATTGACTGACCTGAGACTTACGTTTGGTCTTTGGCTGCTTGTCCTCCTTTGTAGGGTCCGTCACTTTAGATTTCATCAGGTTTTGACTAGTCTTTTCTATTTTACTATATTTGCTAGCGGATGTAAGCGGTGCTTCAGCTATTCCGTCTTTGTATTATACTGTGCACATCGCTTCTGCCTGTGTAAATTGACATTATATCTATTATTCCATTACCTATTCCTATATATATCTTCTGTAAGTGAATAATTGTAGATATGCTTACTCCTCGTATATGTTATCTGTCATATTGATGATACCTGTTGACTGGTGTCCGTCATGTACAGAAACTGAGAATATAATATTATTATTATTATCTTTCATGCGGGTTCGACTTATTCGGCATGTTGTCACATCAACTGGTTGAAATTTCACTTGGTTAAAGTCTGGTTACATATATATCTATGAATCCGGTGTGGTGACAGCAGGCTGCTAGCCGATTGGTTGGCACCAATCTACGTTAAGGTCTAGGTCACTAATATGGGCCGTGAGAAAATATGAACAAGCCTGAGTCGACAACCAATCACAGCAAAGTTAACGTGGCAGAATATGATTCGCAGAGAGAACTCTATTTGTCAAGGAATCCCGAAACAACCAATCAGAAGCCTGCGTTTGTCTACCTAAACAACCAATCAGATGACTGCGCTTGTCTATAATAATGTAGTTGAAAGATGTATAAATACGTGTTGATTTTCATAATAAAACGATCTGTTGCCTGACCCTTGTCTTCTGTTGTTACATTTGGTGTCGCTGCCTACCGACAAATGAAAAGCCTATGCCCTGCTGTTTTTGATGGAGACATATGGATCTTCGGGCAGGACTTCAAGGCTTCTGCGCAGTTGAGTGGCGTTCAAGATCTGTCAGCGATGGAGCTGCTACTTGGGGCGCTGCTGGGAGGTCGGGTGAAAGCAGCATATGAAAGTGTGAGCCGAAGTATGGACGAATGTTCGACAGGGTCAGGCAAACAGTTTCCAAAGTGGGAAGGACCATATATGGTCACTTCGAGATGGGGTTACGCAGACACAGTCGCAATGGCGAACAATAAGAGGCGCGTGAACGTCAGCGAGCTCCAGAAATGGATACAGCGAGACAAGCCAACGATGACGCCTGCACCAAGGAGATCAAGCCGACTTCAGTCGCACGTATTTGACGGGGGGACGAGTGTGGTGAGAGCAGGCTGCTAGCCGATTGGTTGGCACCAATCTACGTTAAGGTCTAGGTCACTAATATGGGCCGTGAGAAAATATGAACAAGCCTGAGTCGACAACCAATCACAGCAAAGTTAACGTGGCAGAATATGATTCGCAGAGAGAACTCTATTTGTCAAGGAATCCCGAAACAACCAATCAGAAGCCTGCGTTTGTCTACCTAAACAACCAATCAGATGACTGCGCTTGTCTATAATAATGTAGTTGAAAGATGTATAAATACGTGTTGATTTTCATAATAAAACGATCTGTTGCCTGGCCCTTGTCTTCTGTTGTTACATTTGGTGTCGCTGCCTACCGACAAATGAAAAGCCTATGCCCTGCTGTTTTTGATGGAGACATATGGATCTTCGGGCAGGACTTCAAGGCTTCTGCGCAGTTGAGTGGCGTTCAAGATCTGTCAGCGATGGAGCTGCTACTTGGGGCGCTGCTGGGAGGTCGGGTGAAAGCAGCATATGAAAGTGTGAGCCGAAGTATGGACGAATGTTCGACAGGGTCAGGCAAACAGTTTCCAAAGTGGGAAGGACCATATATGGTCACTTCGAGATGGGGTTACGCAGACACAGTCGCAATGGCGAACAATAAGAGGCGCGTGAACGTCAGCGAGCTCCAGAAATGGATACAGCGAGACAAGCCAACGATGACGCCTGCACCAAGGAGATCAAGCCGACTTCAGTCGCACGTATTTGACGGGGGGACGAGTGTGGTGAGAGCAGGCTGCTAGCCGATTGGTTGGCACCAATCTACGTTAAGGTCTAGGTCACTAATATGGGCCGTGAGAAAATATGAACAAGCCTGAGTCGACAACCAATCACAGCAAAGTTAACGTGGCAGAATATGATTCGCAGAGAGAACTCTATTTGTCAAGGAATCCCGAAACAACCAATCAGAAGCCTGCGTTTGTCTACCTAAACAACCAATCAGATGACTGCGCTTGTCTATAATAATGTAGTTGAAAGATGTATAAATACGTGTTGATTTTCATAATAAAACGATCTGTTGCCTGGCCCTTGTCTTCTGTTGTTACATTTGGTGTCGCTGCCTACCGACAAATGAAAAGCCTATGCCCTGCTGTTTTTGATGGAGACATATGGATCTTCGGGCAGGACTTCAAGGCTTCTGCGCAGTTGAGTGGCGTTCAAGATCTGTCAGCGATGGAGCTGCTACTTGGGGCGCTGCTGGGAGGTCGGGTGAAAGCAGCATATGAAAGTGTGAGCCGAAGTATGGACGAATGTTCGACAGGGTCAGGCAAACAGTTTCCAAAGTGGGAAGGACCATATATGGTCACTTCGAGATGGGGTTACGCAGACACAGTCGCAATGGCGAACAATAAGAGGCGCGTGAACGTCAGCGAGCTCCAGAAATGGATACAGCGAGACAAGCCAACGATGACGCCTGCACCAAGGAGATCAAGCCGACTTCAGTCGCACGTATTTGACGGGGGGACGAGTGTGGTGAGAGCAGGCTGCTAGCCGATTGGTTGGCACCAATCTACGTTAAGGTCTAGGTCACTAATATGGGCCGTGAGAAAATATGAACAAGCCTGAGTCGACAACCAATCACAGCAAAGTTAACGTGGCAGAATATGATTCGCAGAGAGAACTCTATTTGTCAAGGAATCCCGAAACAACCAATCAGAAGCCTGCGTTTGTCTACCTAAACAACCAATCAGATGACTGCGCTTGTCTATAATAATGTAGTTGAAAGATGTATAAATACGTGTTGATTTTCATAATAAAACGATCTGTTGCCTGGCCCTTGTCTTCTGTTGTTACATTTGGTGTCGCTGCCTACCGACAAATGAAAAGCCTATGCCCTGCTGTTTTTGATGGAGACATATGGATCTTCGGGCAGGACTTCAAGGCTTCTGCGCAGTTGAGTGGCGTTCAAGATCTGTCAGCGATGGAGCTGCTACTTGGGGCGCTGCTGGGAGGTCGGGTGAAAGCAGCATATGAAAGTGTGAGCCGAAGTATGGACGAATGTTCGACAGGGTCAGGCAAACAGTTTCCAAAGTGGGAAGGACCATATATGGTCACTTCGAGATGGGGTTACGCAGACACAGTCGCAATGGCGAACAATAAGAGGCGCGTGAACGTCAGCGAGCTCCAGAAATGGATACAGCGAGACAAGCCAACGATGACGCCTGCACCAAGGAGATCAAGCCGACTTCAGTCGCACGTATTTGACGGGGGGACGAGTGTGGTGAGAGCAGGCTGCTAGCCGATTGGTTGGCACCAATCTACGTTAAGGTCTAGGTCACTAATATGGGCCGTGAGAAAATATGAACAAGCCTGAGTCGACAACCAATCACAGCAAAGTTAACGTGGCAGAATATGATTCGCAGAGGGAACTCTATTTGTCAAGGAATCCCGAAACAACCAATCAGAAGCCTGCGTTTGTCTACCTAAACAACCAATCAGATGACTGCGCTTGTCTATAATAATGTAGTTGAAAGATGTATAAATACGTGTTGATTTTCATAATAAAACGATCTGTTGCCTGGCCCTTGTCTTCTGTTGTTACATTTGGTGTCGCTGCCTACCGACAAATGAAAAGCCTATGCCCTGCTGTTTTTGATGGAGACATATGGATCTTCGGGCAGGACTTCAAGGCTTCTGCGCAGTTGAGTGGCGTTCAAGATCTGTCAGCGATGGAGCTGCTACTTGGGGCGCTGCTGGGAGGTCGGGTGAAAGCAGCATATGAAAGTGTGAGCCGAAGTATGGACGAATGTTCGACAGGGTCAGGCAAACAGTTTCCAAAGTGGGAAGGACCATATATGGTCACTTCGAGATGGGGTTACGCAGACACAGTCGCAATGGCGAACAATAAGAGGCGCGTGAACGTCAGCGAGCTCCAGAAATGGATACAGCGAGACAAGCCAACGATGACGCCTGCACCAAGGAGATCAAGCCGACTTCAGTCGCACGTATTTGACGGGGGGACGAGTGTGGTGAGAGCAGGCTGCTAGCCGATTGGTTGGCACCAATCTACGTTAAGGTCTAGGTCACTAATATGGGCCGTGAGAAAATATGAACAAGCCTGAGTCGACAACCAATCACAGCAAAGTTAACGTGGCAGAATATGATTCGCAGAGAGAACTCTATTTGTCAAGGAATCCCGAAACAACCAATCAGAAGCCTGCGTTTGTCTACCTAAACAACCAATCAGATGACTGCGCTTGTCTATAATAATGTAGTTGAAAGATGTATAAATACGTGTTGATTTTCATAATAAAACGATCTGTTGCCTGGCCCTTGTCTTCTGTTGTTACATTTGGTGTCGCTGCCTACCGACAAATGAAAAGCCTATGCCCTGCTGTTTTTGATGGAGACATATGGATCTTCGGGCAGGACTTCAAGGCTTCTGCGCAGTTGAGTGGCGTTCAAGATCTGTCAGCGATGGAGCTGCTACTTGGGGCGCTGCTGGGAGGTCGGGTGAAAGCAGCATATGAAAGTGTGAGCCGAAGTATGGACGAATGTTCGACAGGGTCAGGCAAACAGTTTCCAAAGTGGGAAGGACCATATATGGTCACTTCGAGATGGGGTTACGCAGACACAGTCGCAATGGCGAACAATAAGAGGCGCGTGAACGTCAGCGAGCTCCAGAAATGGATACAGCGAGACAAGCCAACGATGACGCCTGCACCAAGGAGATCAAGCCGACTTCAGTCGCACGTATTTGACGGGGGGACGAGTGTGGTGAGAGCAGGCTGCTAGCCGATTGGTTGGCACCAATCTACGTTAAGGTCTAGGTCACTAATATGGGCCGTGAGAAAATATGAACAAGCCTGAGTCGACAACCAATCACAGCAAAGTTAACGTGGCAGAATATGATTCGCAGAGAGAACTCTATTTGTCAAGGAATCCCGAAACAACCAATCAGAAGCCTGCGTTTGTCTACCTAAACAACCAATCAGATGACTGCGCTTGTCTATAATAATGTAGTTGAAAGATGTATAAATACGTGTTGATTTTCATAATAAAACGATCTGTTGCCTGGCCCTTTTCTTCTGTTGTTACACCGGTTTCAAGCTATGAATCAAACCTGTTTACCGCTACACCTGTAAAGACAATACTTAACCGAAACACTCTATGAACTCATTCTTCTGCTTTAAATGAGTTGTAGGGAGGAAGAACTTGTACTAACTTATTTTGCAAAGAGGTGTGCAAAATGTTGGAATGTGAATGTCTGTTTACTCTCGACTCAACACAGCTCAACTATTATTATTATTATTTTTATTCCCAAGGATAATTTCAGATGATAACATCAAGAGAAAGGAAACGATTTGAGGATTTCTCTGAGACGGACAGCAAATGAAATGGTCGATAAATTAGTGAATGCACATACATGGGGTTGATTCAAGGCTGTTCTGAAGATGCTTCAGCAATAGTCAAACCTCGACGTGATTTCTTCTATTTCTTCAGAGCTTCATTGACGATAGAAAATATCCCGAAATAGAGTTAAATATCTACTTCTAGAGGGGAAAGATAAAGATAAAAAGAAGTAGGCCACACCACTCATGTGGGTCACACTTGATTAGATGTTTCGTATTCCTACATCATTTTCTCTGCACTCTGATACTGGGTGTTTTCAAGAGATGAAAAGAAAACCGAGAAAGGAAATATGTACCAGCAGAGAGGAAAGTTTCCAGACCTACATCGAATTCCACTTCTATTAGCGCATATGAACCACAAAATCCAGGTTGCAGTATAATGACGGGTATTGTTGGTAGTGATGATGAGAACTGGAAGAGTCCAATGGCAGAGAAGCCGATGACGGTTAGCAAGAGTGAATAATAAATAATGAAGTGGAGAGAATACTTCCATTTTCTGTTGACTACCATGCATAGTTCAGCTTGTACAACTCAGTTTCACAGGATTTACTGCATTTATGATGTTTAAACTGCTCGAGGAAACAACCATCTCACCAAGTGAAAATCCACAATCTTTCAATCCCTCCACGAACAAACTTTGTATCCATTCGGTTGTTTGCTTTTACTCTTGTTATTATTTTTGTATCATTCATGCACATCTAATGTACATGGAAATTTATGTTGTAACTTTCGCTTTCACTGTGTAATTCGGATACTGACTTCTCATCATTGCTACCATTATGCTTCCTGTTATTAATACCACTTATTGTTCATTTCTGAAAGTCAAGTTATTGTATTTGAATAGTCACTGTTATTACACGTGTGTGCTTTCTCATCATTCAGTAAGGTGTATCGTGGTAAGCTGATTTGGTGTGATTGTTTGGAGTTTGATGAAGACGTTGGGAGAGGTAAACAGTAGCTGTGGAGATATTGGAATACTAGTACGCCATTCTCGTTTCTCAATGTTTATGGACCCCATCTGTTGAATGGTATCTTTCTCAATACTGTATTACCTCAGCTGCATTCTGTAGCACCTATTCTTTATGCTGTATCCTATCTTTCTTTGAGAGGCACCATTCACTGTACAGCTCCATTGGAGAAGCTTGGAAACTACTGAGATTTAGTAATAGTAGATTTGTAGTGAGAAGTGGTACGTTTCTTGATGGGGGAGGGGGAATTGAGGAAATTCAGATCCCACAAATTGACTGTTCACCTTCACTTGAAGAATTCAAATCTAAGGTGGGTAGTTCACTGTGTTGGTGAGTGGACAGGATCCATCGAAAGTATCTACATATAAAGGGTGATTTTGTCGAATTAATTTTGATATTGCATGGCTATATTGAAGATAGATCCTGATTGGTGAGATGAAACATCCTGTGTGTAACAAACTTCTGGTTAAGTCTTCTGTGTGAACAGTTGAGATTTTTGTTTGCTTGTGACCTGTGGGCTGGTTGATATAATTTCCAGTGTGAATTCGTTGTCCTTCGTAAGCTAGAAGTACTAACGCCATATGAATTTTTCTGGACTGTAGATTGTCACGTCTGGGGACACGACTGATTCTAGGGGGCATTAGCGGAGTTTTGCTTTTAATATTATGCATACATTAGCTTTTCCACTGCTCAGTAAGGTTTGTAACCTAGTATTCATTTACACTCTGACTTGAAGTTTTATCCCCTAGTCAGTAGAACGAATGACGCAACCGTTAATCTGATGGCCATTTCGTGACCAAATGAGACTGGTAGTGCACTGTATCTTTCGCCATTGTGGAAGGAATTTGCATTATATGTTTGGAATGTGGATCTTTCAGCTTTGCTGTTTACAGCTGCATACCCACCAGTCCGTTGGTGAAACGAAGTTGACTAAGTATAGTGGGATGTGATTTATATGAGACTTATGTGTTTTTATATGAGACTGTTACATTGTTGTCCTGGAATTGTGTAATCCATGAATGACAATGGTTGTAAACTTTTACTATTAGAGTGTAATTCATGTGTAGATTCTATTATCTTCTGAATGAGGTTTTATCACTGGAATCGGTGAACAGGTGGAGTGTGTTGTTTACTATTGTGTATGACGAAACGAAAGTCCACGTGGCTGAATCACCTTTATTCTGTGTTGTGGTCAGCCACAGGACTAGAGTACAACCTGTCAGTTGATGGATTATTTGCACAGTCGGGTTTCAATGAAACCATGAAAATGGATGTCCAAAAAGCAGCTTGAGACTCTGGATTCCAATAATGCATTGCATTTTACTGGAGACAGTATATGTGTAAAAGCAGGAGATATGATCAGGTGAAATAGGGAGATTTTCAATCCCCCTTCTCCTATCTCAAAGGGAAAGAAAGAATTCTCTATACAGACATCCTTAGTTTATATTCAACGAGTAAAGTTTCATGTAGTTATTTTACTTCATCAGTTACAGTTTGAGAAATGAGTGAAATCTACTCTTGGTGCAGTATGAGAATTTGTCTGATAAAAGTTTCGTCAAAAGAATGCAAACAGCTTTAAAGTTGCAGCTATAACCGAAGTTCTGCTGAACAAAGAAGTATCTGCAGAGAGCATAAAAGTGTGTTCGAGGGATGCTTGAGAAGCTAGTGTTAATCTGCAGTCCATTAATTATTTCATTGTAATTGTTTCATACGTTGCTTTGATGGTTTGTGCAATGCTTTAGTTATGTATATTTTAGCTACTAACGGAATACTGTTAACGTGAAAGCTTTGGTGGTATAAGTTGTTGTTCGTAGTTGTTGGTTGGTGTTATTGTTGCTGGTTCAAGTGGTTACTTAATTTTGAGAGATTTGAGAATACAATGTCGCCCTTGTTGATGTGTGTAGCATGCCACCATGTGAAAGCCGATGTGTTGAAGAGAGCCCTATCAGAGTTACTATTAGCAAGGCTTTCGAAGTACATATTAAACTCAGAGAACCTCGAACTTGGGCTAAAGTTGAAGAAGCTTTGAAATTTTTCCCGAAGGTGAGTATATCGATATGTTGTGACAGAATGTAGATTAGACAAGTGCGAGCAACATTTAAAGTATATGTGGTGCTTGAATACACATTTGGAAACACAAAAATAGTCAGAAAGCAATGAGAAATATCTTAGCTGGTAAGTGTCATCTATTGTTGCTAGTGCTTAACCTACCAGATCTGAATACATTGATTGCCAGTCAGTGATACGCATTTGTTATCAGTTCAATAAATTCATCTGTACATACGATTCACAATCACTGTACCATCGAAGTCATGAATATTTAATGAAGAATGCGAGAAGTCGTGAATTAAATGAACTAAAATTGACTGTAGTAAACCCAATGTTAGCTACTTCATCATAATCCGAAGAGGTCATTGGATTTGGATATGCTGGAAAAGGGTTTAGAGAGCGGACGACATACAATGATGTACTGGGTGTGTGCGAACTAGTGTATTTGAAGACCAGACTTCAGTCGGCAATGATAACCTTCCAGATTGTGATTTTCTACAATCGATGGATTTTCGTGGTTACAACAAGTTGAGAAGTTGGTTATTATTCGAGCGAAAGACAAATTGCTTATTTCGATTGGTTCTGACAAGCGAATTGAAATATACCAAGAAGTCCCAGTTAACTGCGTTTTGAAGAACTGTCGGTAATGGAACTTTCTAGCAGAAGTCCAGAGTCTTCGATAACAGCCACACCGGTAACGCGAAATAATGCATTTGGAAATGAAATTTCTGGAAGTTGAAGCCAAGGTTTTGTAAATGCCTTGTCAGATCAGCAAATCTAGATTATTTGGCATACATATCTTCATTTTTCTTGTCTTCTTACAACTGATCGGAGGAAGGAAAGAGGGGAAAGTAGAACTTCACTGAGAACGCAGAACGGCCCTGTTTAGGGTCACCACATATTTGATTTCATTGGTATGTCTTAAAATTCTGCAACTGGGTGGAAGATAGGCTAATTGTTTCGGTGCAGTGTAATAGCTAATTGTCTAAGCTTACCTTCAGCAGAAACTATTTTAAAGTAGCGACATAGTTTTAGGTAATGCGTCATAGGACTGAATAGCGTATGAATGGTCAAATCATAGTTCTTGAATACATTTTATATAGACTTATAGGCATTTGTGCGTCGGTGTCACAGTGGCTAGGACACTCGCTGACCATGCACATGGTACGGGGTTCGATCCCCTACCGACTCACTCCTTTACCCCACTTAGCCAGGAATAATGCTGGTAAAGAGAAACGGTTGGGCATGAGGCTGGCAACCCCGTCCTGTATAATTAAACGCTGTTACAGAAACTTTAAGCCACCAGCTTGAAGCTGGGAACGTGAAGGAAAAATAATAAGCATTGAATTATGTGAGACCACTATTGATTCACAGTTGACGATAGGTGCTTAGGGTTATTCCGTGTGCACTTATTGCCATCTTCTGTGGAATCATTTACAACGCAAAAGATGTTTTCAATTTGTGCATGCCATTATACGACGGAAATGTTATCATCAGACTTCCCCAGTGAATTAATAGTTGAATAAATCCTCTGTACAGTACAAGCGTTAACTTTGATCAGCAGCATACTCTACTCATATGCACATACATATACACTACGCTTACATGTGGTGTACACTTAAGGGGGGGATTTCTCCTACAAAAGATATTAAATGCTCCTATATGAAATTGGTGGCGTGGCTTTAGGAGACTATCCGTGGTGGTTTTTTGGCTTTCGTCGTTTTTAGTGGACACAGAGTGAAGAGGGAGTGAGGAGTCATCAAGTAGAGGAGTTGCATCACTGGGGGAAGGTAAGGTAATAGAGATGAAGATGAAGACAAAGATAAGTGAGGATTAGAGAGGTTTTGTGTGCGTTTTGGATTGTGAGGGCGATTGTTACTTCCCGGCTGCCCACACCGTGGAAGTTGGTTGCGTGACCGCAGAGCCCAGGGGACAACTGCTTGTGGCCGGTCACACGCGGCCTGTTTTTGTTCGTTCTTTGTTGTTTTGTGTGCCCCTAACTTAGTGATAGGGAGTGAAGTGATAGAACATGTTGACCACTTCACCTACTTGGGAAGTTGTATCAGCACCAACGGACTGATTGGCGATGAAATCTCAGCACGGATCCGAAAAGCTCGAGCTGCTTTCGCTGACTTACACCATCTCTGGCGTAGGCGTGACATCCGGTTATCAACCAAGGGACGTGTGTACTGCTCATCAGTTCGCTCCGTCCTTCTCTATGGCTCTGAAACATGGCCAATACGCGTTGAAGACATGAAAAGGTTGACTGCTTTCGATCATAGATGTCTGCGATCTCTGTCTCACGTTAGGTGGTTTAATAAGGTAAGTAATGTTGACGTTAGGCGTAGAGTGTTGGGCAAAGAGGGAAAATCAATCGACGAGGTTATAAAGTTACATAGACTAAGATGGCTAGGTCACGTGGTGCGCATGCCTAACCACCGCCTCCCCCGACGGGCATTGTTAGCTGATATAGGTTCAGGTTGGAAAAGAGCCAGTGGTGGCCAAACAAAAACATGGCATCAATCCATGAAACCCTTGACAGTTAAACTGAGTCAGGTAGGGAGATGCAGACTCCCGGGTTGGGGCCCTCGGGACTCTAGGAATCAATGGCTGGAGACAATAGGTGACATGGCTCAAAATCGTTGTCAATGGCGCAGATGTATTCAATCTCTGTAATCTTTCATAGTCCTTTCTACCATTACCCATTCTGTTTCACTCTTATATTTGTCAAACTCTATTAATTCTCTTCACTCATCTTCTTGTCTACCTCTGTGTGCTATTTGGAACGTGGCAACTCGAACTGCTGCACTTCGGTGCCAAGTTCTATGTTGAATCCAGAC